AAAGAAGGTGTAATTTGCTATCAAACAAGTACAAGGAATATTTTTTCCTGCATGTTTCCCAAAAAATATATTTGAATCTACAAAGGCAGTCAAAATCAATAACAAAAATGGCATACTACTTAAGTAGCTACTTTCTATAGTGCGTATTTTTTCCTGGCGGTCAGAAAGAAGCTCGTTAAAAAGCCGGCATCCTGAAGTGTCCAAAGTATGTTGAGATTAGGCTGTACGATCGTCTCTATTACAACCATCCGCAGTTAATATGTTCCAATCAAAAACTTATTTCAGAATTCCGGGTGGCATTTCATGAGATAGGGAATCTACTGTAAAGGGAGTATTTTGCGATGCGGATTTTCGCAGCGGGTGGCTTCTGTCCGTTCAATACGACATTGTCGGACCATGGGGAAGGGAGGAGGGAGTAGTTAGAAGTGGAGGCATCACCACTAGGTACTAAAACTACTGGTCAATGCAGCCAATGACTGGTTGCAGGAACACTCTACATGATCCAAAATCAGACGCATATACTGTAGCTTATAACAGGAGGGGGCAGGTGGCTCCTAATGGACTCCTGTAAGCGACTTCTGAATGCTAATAACAAGATGAATGTGATTACATTGAAAGAGAGAAGAATAGTACGCACAAAAAACTGGTGTAGGCATACCGTTTTATCCCACCTTTTCCTATAGCATGAACTGAGATAGGACTCCTGGCAAAAGAGTGCGACAACTTTGCAGCGCGGTTGAATGTGTTTGTCTGACCAAGGCGACTGATCGTCTGGGGAACATGACAGACAGATGATATGGATAACGAGCGGATAGTGCGTAAAAATTGTTCCGGAAGGGGGATGGTCGCGAGTACACTGACAATTTCACCGACCTCCAGCAAAAGCATACTAGAGAGCTATCGCAGACGATTGGCTGAGTGAAAGACTAGCTTCGTATTAACAGAAAAACGACGACTTTAAAGCCGCAAAAGGCGAACGATCAAGGCACGATAAAGGGGGGAGAAAATGCTTTCAATATATTATCGCCTGTGCACGGCTAATCACAGATGGACCAACTAAACGTTGAGTGTCAGTTCTTTTTTGTAGTACGTATCGTACTTTTTTCTTCTTTGAAGACTATCTTATGGAATATTAACTGAAATTCTGAAATGTTTTCGAGATTTTAATATTCATTATCGTGCAAGGAGTATCTTTAAAAATACTGAAATAGTATGCACGTTACCCATTAATTTTTAAGCGTTCTTTAAATTCAATAATATCTCATAGCTAACAGGCATTAAAATATGTTTTTTGTACTCATGTTGTAGCAAAATTAGTTCAAGTTAAAATTTGTACTTAAAGAAAACGTAGTTTACGGCTTTAAAAAGTGTTTAGTTAGGAGATTTGTTTAGACCGGAAAATTTGCGTTTACGAAGCATCGCATCTGTATGTTTATTAATGCTGCTTTTAAAGAATAAAATAGAAATGCAGCCCCCCCTCCCCCGAACACGTGACTCGTAGTCAAAACGCTAACACCTTCCTCCCCTCACCAGCACAACCTATCGCCGCGGGATGCACATCACCATAACCCTCCCTCCCACCCAATCCCTCCCGTTCGTTGTAAACTCTGCCCCCAGGACCTCTAGTGCGGCATTCCCAGCCCTCACTTTTTAATTTAGTCTGGCGACCAACACGTGATACTTGTTCAAAAATTCACGAGTACAACTCGATTTTCCGAAGACCTTCTTTCTTTTCGGAAATGCACACATTGAAAAATTTATGATCTCTGAATGACGCATTCTAAATAACGCATAGGAATGAGTGAGTTACCTTACAATAAAAAGATACAGCGTTTAATTTGGAAACCCCGACGGCAAGTGCAACAGCACGTAGGGTTTAAAGTTATTCACAAATTGAAATAACGAGTTTTTTTTAAATCGAAACCTACGCCTTAGTAAAGTATAAAATGTAAAGTAGGCGTAAGTTGCTAACAAATATGTACGAGAAATAATATCTTTACATATGTATTCAATGAAATATATTTACATTTAAAAGGACATCGAAAATCAACGAGAAACACTCATTCTA